ACCCCAAGGTGAACAGAAAATGTAAAATTGCGCTTAACAGGCTGGCAGTCCTTGCCAACCTTGCTCCACAAGAAGAACTGAACACATCCTTAATCCAAAAGATCATTGCCTACAAAAATACTGAAGCAAATACCCTCCCAGCTTACCGTTGTATTAACGACACCCATGTGAGCGGCCTTACCAACACCAGCATGGGTAGGGAACAGCCTCCCCACMCCCAGATTTCCGAACGAGCAAMCCCCCAACCTAGCTTCAYCCCCCCCACTCAAGCAGTGCCACCGCCACAGCCTCGTTCCACATCTTTCTATACCCATGAACACACCGGACGCCGCCTCAGACGTGCCCTCAACCATCCTACACCCATTCATTGTCCTCGAACACAACAACTTTCAAATGTAATGGACATGCAATCACTGGAAGAGCCACTCTGCAAAAGAACTCGCTCCAATGCTACATTCAGCATCACTCCCACACAAGCACTCCACCCCTCTGCAGATGAACTCACTGCAAGCCTGGATACTCTGGCTCCTGCCGTACAAGATACTACTGCAAAAGGGCCACCCAGCAAACGCACACGCTCAGCATTGACAAATACCTCTTCTTCCATGTCCCAATTTAGCCAGGCTAGCCCAAATGATAGCAGTTCACATGCTTGTTTGAGCACTGCTCACCATACCCCTACACAGCCCAACCCCCCTAGCACTATACCCCCCTAGCACTAACCACCAACATCAGACAGATGGTTGTCTCAACCCTCAGACACAAACTCTTACTCCGCATAGCCTAGATACTCAAACAAACAGACCCAGAAAGAAGAGGCAACAATTGCTCCACACAGACAGTGAGATCATTTCCCCAGCCATCCACTCTCTAAGCTCCCTTTCCCAAGGCCCAAAAGTGTGGAACCAAAGGAGAAACACAGCTGAGAAACTTGCTAAAGAGACTACTGCTAGCCATGCTATCAGTTCTATCTTCTATCATGATTTAGATGTTACTCACATAGATAATTGGAGAATTTTTGCAGAGAACAAGAAAGAACAATCAAGCTCCCCCGCCCACCACCAAGTGCAATATCACACGCATTACGCACCTATGGTAATTGAAATATGGGCCTTGCCACTTTTCAAACAAGCTAACCTTGTGCCTGAGGATGTCTCGCCTGCTGCTCGCACTGATATTGAGTATTCCTGCTGCCAAATATGCAATTACTACCAAAGTTATGAAACTGGAACCTTGGAGGATCCATTTCCTGGTATGTATGTTTGTGATGTGTGCCACCGGACGTACCATTGGGGATGCATGAAGGAGCTTGGATGCTACTCGGATGAGCAAAGACAAGAAATTGCAACAGTCGACACATGGGCATGTCCCGCCTGTGCAAACCTAAATGATGCCCACAAAGTTGAAAGAGAGTGGCAGACTAAACAAGAACTCAGGAGGGTCGCTTGGAAGCCCTCCTGGGAATCAGAGGATCTACAGGAGACATCATGATGGCCTATATTTAAAGAGTGTTTGCTTAAGTTCGAAGCACAACAGAGCGAGCCTAACCTTTCAACATTCACAGCAGATTCTCCCCTCTCAAATCTTGAAAGACAGGGCTTTGAAAAACTTAATGAAACCTATGTATAGCAGCAGAAAATGGACACAGAATTGCGCAAAAAAATCACTTTTGATACAAACCCCACTAATCCACAAGCAGACATAAAACCTACAGGCTTATGCGAATATTGGCTGCGCGAGGTTGACCTCGTGAAGTACACGGACCAGCAACCCCCACATCCAGCACCATCAGACACAGGATCCCACAGCCATTCCGCTCCTACTCCATCCCCCCTCATTCTCCCAGAAATATACACGGCGCACATGGCTTGCATAAACAATACGCAAGGCAAATGTGTTGGTATGATATCGCCAAACCGCTTCCAAATCCTTTGCAGGGCTTTTTATGGGGCCAAGCTTGCTGGCATATGCCATGCATGCACGAGAAAATAACACCACCTCCAGGCAACTTTGCTACTGAGCTGCAAGGACTCCTTTCCCGCAAATCCGTGCTTGAAAGAAAGTACTCTAGCAAGTAGATCAAAGACTCTTTTTCACGAGCCCTTCCACCTCACATTCATCACGCCCTTCAAAAGTGGGCTTTAGTAGCCCAAGAAAAAATGGCCTCCCCACTAGACCACAACCCACAATACCAGAATTATTGGAGTGCGCACTCCCGAGACACTCTTTTTGGTGCAATGCATAATGCCTTCTCATCCAATTCTCAGGCTTCTCAGTCTGCCATCCCATTTATGACGAGGGAATCATGACCCAAGCTTTGCAACATGCCATTTACTCTGCCATTCTCAACACAGAGGCTACTGCTACATTCATATTCCTTCCGGCTTGGAATAAGAACATGATATCCAACCCCTACTCCAAACTTTTCAATGCCTACCCCCACCTCTGTTACAAACTTGGCACCATACCTGGCAAAAAAATTTGGTTACAGTGCCCCTCAATCCTGCCCTAACCAAGAGGTACCTTTACCTAAGCATACCTGGGACCTTCGCATCTTTGCTGTTTGGAACACTGCAGCTCGAATCCATCTTAATTACCATAACAAAGAAGGGCTACAGGGCCTGAAAGGAGATTTGAAAGAAGCTACAGAGTGGAAGCTTGAAAGTGTCAGCAGCCACCCTGTCCTAAATCCCATGCATGCCCACATGCCAGGTTTCAATAAACTGGAACGCCTCCCATTTGACAAACAACACGTCTCCAAGCAGCCTAGTTATTCACACATGAGTATCCAAGGTACAGGCTTGGTGCCCAGCCAATCCAGTACTCTCTTAACTCTGAAAGTTGCTGAAAAAGAAAAAGAAAAGAAAAGTCTACGCAAGCCAAAGGCAAGGCTGGAGGACATGGGCATACACAGATGGCAGCTGCCTTGTCCATAACGGTAAGCAAGAAATTGGAGCAGGCGTCTAATGCCCGTCCACTGACCGCAAGAATTTTGTAGAACCAAACGGTGCCGGGATTACTAAAACCGTCACTAGAGCTGAATTGGCAGCAATTGCTGCTGCTATCATCACCAAATATGCAGATATTGCATCAGACAGCCTCACCTCTTTCAATCAAATTCGTAAACAGCCTCTCTATCCTGGAAGACATCTGAGGCATATCCAAGGAGACGTCCTTACAATGATTTCAACGCTCATTAGAGACTTCCATACCAAAATTCGAATTTACAAAGTGAAATCCCATGCTGGCATCGCTGGAAATGAATGTGCAAATGCCATTGCAAAGCATCAAGCAAAGCAAGCCCAGAACTGTGTCGCAGACAACGAGATCCCTGGTGCAGGTCCTGGTGGAAATCCATTTACAAACATTTTCTGGTTCGCCAAAAAAGAAAGAGTGCATGCTGCAGGCACACCTGCGGGCCCACCACCCGCCCACAAGCTCACCTATTTCCCCAATCTTCATGATGCCCTCAAATCCCATATGCACTCTGAAACACGGGCTTGGGTATGCCAATGCCAAAACAGGTTACTACTTTTATTATCAAAACTTGTTACCGCAAGTAGATAGAAAAATCAGCAATGCTTTCAGAAATATGGCCAACATTCCTGTACCCATGAAGCGTACCATCCTGCAGTACCGCACAGGCACCCTCTACAACCAAAAACATGCTGTGCGTTTTTAAAGGACAACTAATCCATCTTGCCCCTCCCAGGCTGCCATCATTTGGACAGCGCACTACACATGCTCTCAGGCTGCCAAAACCACATCATCTCCAACATGAAAACTGAACGCCATAACATTGCAGGCAAAATGATTACAAAAGCCCTCAGCAAATGCCCTGTAGGGGCAGGCCTAGTATACACAGACATAGGAAGCGATTTTAAGCTTGCTCAACACAACCTCCAACTCCCTACACATGCCTCAAACAGAACTTTACCTGCTTACTTCTTCCCTCGTAACCTTCCAGAGAGGAAAAGACTCAACTCCAGTCGACCAGATGCTGTTTTGATCACCCCTTTCAATGCCAAACATACTTCTAACGATGTTTCTCCTACACATTCCCATCACGCTTTGCGCAGCTCCTCACCGAGGACCACCAGAACTAGTTGCATGAGGCATCCTCATGAACTGCATGCAAATAAACGTCATGTTCACCTAATAGAAATCAAGTTCTGTGAAGACACAAGGCCAGAACATCAGTTGAACGCGTCAAAGCAGCAGCATGCAGACCTTTGTAAACTTGTTAACACTAAAGCTGTTACAATTCACCCTATTCTCCTGGGTGTAGGTGGAACTATTTACACTGAGCATACCCTGAAGCAATTCAAACAACTAGGATTGGATCACCAGCGTGCCACCAAGCTTGCTCAACAACTTCATCCCATTCTGTTCAGTGCGCCCACAAACTAGTCACCATCCGCCGCGCTATTAAAACCAAGAATACTTCCCACAGCCAGGCTCTAGAGCCAAGTGCTTCTAGTAACCCTCCAGATCCACATTAGCATTCTCTTCTTCATACCTTGTGGTGGAGGGGGCACACGGCTCTTTTTGGAGCCAATGTGTCTCCTCTTCCTTAATTGATGTAGGGAGAGTTTCTCTTCCTACGTAGTTGTTCTTTTTCTTTTCTTTTCTTTGCCAGAACCAGACGCGCTCTTGAGAAGAACTTTTTCAGCTCCCAACAAGGTCAGGCATGGGCTACTGCTAGTAACCCACCTGATCCCCACTGACTTCTTTCTTCTGCTTTCTCTTGATGAAGCGGATACACGGTGTCTCGGCCCAAGGTATCCCCTTTTCCTTTGATTTTTTGCTTTTTGCTATAACATGAGCGGCCCCCAGCAGGGACCTGACAGCAGAAGAAGAGCCGCAAGAAAGAGCGAGAACAAGAGACGCTGAAACACAACTCAAGAAAAGGACCATGTGGGGAGTGTTTTCATTGCCTGTATATACTTCTTTTCTTTTGCAATTCCACATGATAGTATAGGGATGCCCTCCTCATCCTCGCTCGTGTAGCTCAGTTGGGAGAGCGCAAGACTGAAGATCTTGAGGTCCCTGGTTCGATCAGAGCGAGCAATTAATGATGCGAATAGGGGTTGAAGGATGGGCTATATGATGGTGGGCAAGATGAACACCTGCTCCACAACAGCTTGTCTCTCGACACCCTAAAGCAGCTGGTGTGAACACGATTGGTGTCAACACTGATTGTTTGGTCTTTCCTCAATGTACACTGGAAACTTTCCAATTGAAGGTGGCACTTGTTGGTTTCCTTCTGGACCCGTCTTTTGTCTTCCAGTGTGAAAACAGGCATCATGTCATGTTTACTTGCAACTCCCCAGGAGGCAAAAAAAAAGTAGTGGACGTCATGTCAAAATTCTCGGCGGGAGGCCCAAAAGGACCACCCACCCCCCCCTCCCCCCAAAATACTGCCCCCCTCCCCACAATAAGGGTACCAATCTGCTCCTTTTTTAAATAGCTATCAATTTGCATACTCATCACAATCAAACATTGGGTTGGAGCAGAGTTATTGGGCAAAAACTGGTGAACGGACGCCTATGCAAACCTGCCCTTCCAGGCACCCACCTAAGTTGCACAATACGGGAATACGGATACGGATACGAATACGAATACGAGTACGGATACGGCAAAAATCCAGCAAAATCCTGCTAAATCTAGTGAAATTGGTACGGATACGGGAATACGAATACGACGTATTTGATACGAATACGCCGTATTTGGGGTCTGATACGGCGTATTGTGCAACTTAGGCACCCACAACTGGCTTGCAGTCCATAAACTGCCCTTCTGACTTCACCATGCAAGGATGTTATGGAAGTTTGGATTTGTTTGCTGCATGTATGCCTTCACACCGCCAGCAACCTATGCCCATGCGCATGTGGCACTGACTCTGATCCATGCACAGAGACTCCTGCTTTTGCCCAATTTCCTTAAAGAGGGTGTCAATCGACAGTTCTGAAGCTCAGGAATCCATTGGTATATTTAAAACTTCGAGAAAGTTCAGAAAATTCTGGAGGGGGGGTCCCAAAAAGTCCAGACCCCCTCGAAGGACCACCCACCAACCACCCTCTCCGATTGGACCCATATATGTACCAATCGATAGCTCTCGACCTCAGGATTCCGAATATGTAGTTTTTATTGAGATTGACACATGACGTCCGAGAGTTATGCAGACTGGTGCCTCCTGAACTCGCACCTCATATTAATGGTAGGGAGACAACGTCGCTATCCACGCTCTTGTAGCTCTGGGAGAGCGCAAGACTGAAGATCTTGATGTCCCTGGTTCGATCCCGGGCGCGAGCAGTTAGTAATCAGAGTAGGGGTTAGAGGATGGGCTGTATGATGGTGGGCATGATGCATCAGCTCCACAAAAGCATGCCTCTCCGCACCCTAAAGCAGCGGGTGAGGACACGGACGGTGTAAACACTGATAATTTGGTCTTTCCCTCCAATGTACACTGAAAACTTTCCAATTAAAGGTGGCACTTGTTGGTTTCCTCCTGGGTCCGTCTTTTGTCTTTGAGTGGGAAAGCAGGCATCATGTCATGTCT